ATAACACTATAAATTATTATATAATTATGTTATTGAATAGTTCACAAAATAGTGAAATAAGTCTAATAAATGACAAACTTCTTGCATTCACATGAAAATAATGTTTGACTTTGAAATAGTAATCAATTCCGTCAGATAAGTATCGGTGCCAATAAAGGACAGACGATTCAATCAATAAACAGATTTCCCATTAATTACATCATTTGAATGCCAAACACATTAATTGAGACTTATTTCACTATTTTGTGAACTATTCAATAACATAATTATATAATAATTTATAGTGTTATTGTCTGTTTGAAATGCAATTACTGTATTGTCCTTAATATTATGCACACAATTAAATCCCAATAACACTCAATACTATAATAATTATGTAATAATTTATTTTTGATTTATTATTTATTTCAAAGACTATGGAGTTAACAATTATTTATATCGTAAATTGATCTAATTACAAACATTTAAGCTATTTTGTATACAATTTGATTTACCTCCAAACAGTGATCTTGCTACAAATATTAAGAAATAATACTTTCTGTTTATATATCTAATTATTTCACATTTAATCGCAATGTTTTCTATTGAATTTATATCTTAATTTAAATCTAAATTATATAAAATGGTCGATATATTAAAAATGATATAATTGGGCTCATTATTATATTACTATTATTATTTACTTGGTAGTTTAGTGCAAATTACAGAATTAGTATAATTTTATACCAATTAAAAAATAAAACTATTAATTATTAAAAACTTATTAAAATTATTACTCTTTGTGTTGCCGTCAAATCTTCAAACAGATATATTTTATTACATTTATAAAAGTTTTATTAATAATTATAATAATAATCTATAAATTATTAAACATATATCATAAAATACAAATAAAGAATGTTACAGAATAAACTTACCATGGCAAGCATGCACAAAATAATTGCTTGATTTTTACTTAATTTTAAGTTAAAAAGTCATTTTTAAAACACGTGACTTATTTTTGTTTGATATCTGCATATGAAATATGGCATAAATATAGCCTAACCTTTGGGCACACCTGGCTATTAACGTCAGTTAATTACATGTAATTTGTTTTATTCTTTTATAGCAAATTTATTGCCAAAAAAATATTTTTTTAAAATATGAAATATACAGTATATTTATTTGCTTTACAAAATCATTTTAATCATTTTTACAATAGTAATTTTTAAAAAGTTAATTTTAAAAGATTTATAAATAGTTTTGCATAAAAATTCAATGCAAAACGTGTAATATATTATATTTGCTATAAATTATAAACTATTTTTTGTTAATCGATTGATTTCTAATAATTCTGATAAACTATTAATAATTAACAATAATATTAATACGGTATAATTTAAAAACAAAATATTGAATCAATAAAAAGTACTCATAAAATTAGAAGTCATTTCGCAAAAAAATTAACTCATTTTAGGATAAAAACAGTTTTCGTAGAAATATTGCAATTTACAGATTGAGATAATATGTAAAAAGCTGTCGAAACAGATATACAATTCATATATTGTACTAATAGTTATACAAACTGCCTAAAAATGTGTAAATATTTTTGTTTTTCTAGATTTAGTAATTAAAAAACTTGTGGAAAGTTTTCAAAAACTCAAATCAAACACAGCTTACACTCGATTTAATTATCCGTTTGTTAATCTGATTTTGCTGTTGAAAAATACCGGACAGTATGCGTCAAACACGACATGATATCCCATTCCCCTCCACCTTATCGATGACAGTCAGGGCTGTCGTCAAACAGTCTTATAATTCTCTCCATACTATTAACTCGTATGAAAATCATTGCAAATATTGATTTGTTTTTTGTTTAATTTTGAATTTTATTATTTCTTATATTTTTCAATATTTTCTTGTAATCGAGTTCATTTACAAACCCCACTGAATATGGGAGTAATAAAGGCAGTGAATATAATAATAATAATAAAAATCATTAATGTATTTCAGTGTGAGATAAATCATGCGAAAGTAATATTTGCTACTTTTTCCTATATTTGGTGGCTTTTCATATAAATTTACACATAATTTATATTTTAATTTTATTTTTCAGTTTATTTTGTAAATAAAAATAGAAGTAATTGACATTTATCTATTAATATAATATACGATATTTGAACTAAAACACGTTTCCATTAGATGTTGATTAAAACTAATTTACTGCAAATTTTTAATACATAAATACTAATAACAAATAAAATATTGATTTTCATTTGTATAACATTTTCGCGGACAATTTGCAAATGAAATAATTTTTTTATTTAATATTAAAAATAACTTATTGTTATAAACAATATGCAGTAATATCATTTGAGTTTCAAAGATATATTGTCTTTTCGCTTATGTATCACACATTTTCAGTACAACTACTGTAGCCTTTCTACACACGATGCCATTCCTTTCCGAAAAGAGTTTTCATACAAAAAAATATATAATTGTTATTAAATTAAAACTCATATTTCAATTACAGACAAATAATTTTAATTAAAACATAATATGACAAATATATACCATTTTGGTATAACAAACAGAATGGCATAGAGTTTATGGTTTTAAAAACTCTAAAAGCCAAACACCTTTATATTTGTATCATACAAATAATGTACAAAAATATACATATATAATATAATTTATTAATATATTCAGTATATTCTTAATCATAGGAATCTAAATCTGTGGGCAAATTATGAACTTACGAGGAAATCATGCAATTCTTTTCAACCCAATTATTAATTATATAATTAAATAGCAGTGATTTGATTAAGAAAGGGAACGGGTGGCCAGAGATTCAATTCATAAGTATATAAATCGGATTTGCTTTTTATCCCAAAATGACTCGTATTTTCGGTTAATTCAATAATCATATAATCATATAATAGTTATATATCCAAAAATAGTCTTTGGGTTTCATAAGTGATAACTCTGTGAAATAGTCATGTAATGTGTTATGAATTATATAAACAAATGAGAATATAATTTGTATGAAAACTAATATCAATCACTGATTGATAATAGTATTTGAATTGATTATTCTTGTGGTTAAGCGGGTATTGCGTGTGATATCGTCTCCACCGTTGATATTGTGATCTCTAATGCAATTTGAGAGAAAAATATAGCATTAAATGTGATCAGAAAATATCAATTAATAACTAATATATTTATTATAAATGCCTAATAACTGCTAATTACTATATATATATTTAGTATATATAAATATATATGAAATATATTTAGACACTATTTCCATATAATAATAAACTTCAGAATATTATATTTTAGGCTATGTTTTACAAGTGATTGTTGTTTGAAACAAATGACATTTTGCTCTAAATGTTAAACAACTTTCTAATCATAATATAATACATAACTATTTTTGCATATATATTATAATTTTTATTAATGAATACAATGCTGTAGTGTATGTCGAGTATGTCTCTCAAACATCGTGTTTAACACAAAACAACACATTGTCTATAATTAAGTAATTTATGCAAAAATTCAAGTCTTTTTATGATAAATGTTTTACACGAAACATATCATAGAAATCACAATATAATGCATAATATAATACTATTTTTAAAAATTATTAAAAATTAATATCTTATATAAACTAACTATGTACTTACTAGCTAAAAATAGTAAAATAATATATTAAATGCATTATAATAAAAATTAATATCTAACAATATCTTTTTTATGTAAAATAAGCATTACAAATATTGTACTAGAGGTCAATGTTAGTTGTATAACTCTTTTTTGAAATATACAAATACAGTATTTATAAATAATTTTATAATCATTGATAAAACTATGATATTAATTATGATATTCAACATGAGAATAACAAACAAAATAAAATCATATAAAATGTTTATCTATTAGTTAATCTAGGGACATTTTGTTTACTTACTTCCTTGGCTATTACCAAACTTGTCGTTAGCTTTTTCTGATAATACTATATCTAGTGATCGACCAAAGAATCGCTTATGAAATCGATATAAAGTGGCGATTATTATGCAAATGGCAAACATGGAGAACGCGTACATAAACGGAAATAACCACACTTTCGGTAATTGCTAACAAATAAAACAAAAAATTTAGTAAAACCAACATTTTCCAAAATATAATCTAAAAAGTATTTAGTTTTTCGAAACATATCATTTCCGATATATTATATTATTTTTATTGTTTTTGATGACCTTTTAAATGTCCTCTCGATCTCTATGTGAAATTAAATGCAGTAAAAAATAGTCATCAAAAACAGGAACTTTGCGTTTGAAGACTAGGAATTGCTGTTTAATAGTAATAATAATCACATAAAACCCTAAAATAATAGCCAGTATTATGGAGAGAGAGAGAGAGAGAGAGAGAGAGAGAGAGAGAGAGAGAAATCATTTTAAGTCCATTATAATGAACAAAATTCTTCAAGAGTGAGTTTCTAATGCCATTTTGTGGTTAAATTGGGTTTAATTTTGCTTTAAAATAAAATTTAGATTATTTTCAAATTATTGAATCCATATATTTCTGTTATATCCGGGCATTAAGTGACTTGTGTTTAGAGACCTAAACTAAATATCGTATAATAAGTAATAAAGTTAAGTAAAAGTATAAATAAAACTGTGCGACACTTTTTTTTTATTCTGGATATATTGATAATATAATAGTATACTAAGACTTAGAGTGTATTTATTTATCACTTATTTTGTTCACAATTTTTTATCCTCCACTCAAACTCCAGTCCTCACAATCTCTTCCACATTGACTTCAATTTCCTGCTGTAATACCAGTGCTATTCAGTCAGTGCTCGTGTGAGAGAGTGAGTGAGTGAGTGAGTGAGAGAGAGAGAGAGAGAGAGTCCTTAAGAAGCAATGAATTATGAGTGCTATCTATCACACCATAGAAACTCATATAAAACATTTAATAATAAATAAGTGACCAAAAAGTGTGGCCTTTTCACTGGTCATTCATTTTCATATCAAATGAATTGTTAGTTATCTAGCGTTGAGAGAGAGAGAGAGAGCGAGAGAGAGAGAGAGACTTAATGTATGTTATTAACATTGAAATTAAAAGGTAGAAAGAGATAGTAAGTATAGTGAGAGCAATAATAACCTTTCATTTAGAGGTTAACAACAAAAACATATATAATTTTCTTTACAATGAACTAGAAATCAAAGTTAGACCGAAAATCAAAACCCGCCCCGCCCCAAACCCGTGGAGTTTGAGCCCAACCCGACCCGTACCCACATCTGGGAAACCCGTGGGTTCCCGTAAAAACCCGGTTAACATGATATACAGAAAAACAAGCAAAATTTGTTTGAAATTTGCTTTATTGGTAGTAAAGATTCAAATATAATTACATTTTCATTCTATTGTTTATATAAATCATAATTTGAGTGAATAAACAGTAATTTGTCGACATTTTGGGGTTTGAGCTGAGACCTATTTCTGGTTATTGTGAGTCCGGCATAACTAAAATTCCTTTCACTCGACAGATTAGTAGCAGGAATTGAAAGCAATTCTTGCGATAGTCGATATAACCGAGGATATTTATGTCGATTCTGTTCCCAAAAGTCAAGAATTGATAAATCACTTGAAAAACTTGTATTTGAGTTAAGATATGATTGAACTTCTTGATGGCAATCAAATGTGTTGTTTGAGTCCTCACTTGTTGATGGATTTAAAAAGTCTTTTAAGCATAAATCGATATTAACATCAGTTGCTGTGCATTGAGTTGCGGTCAGTGTTGTTACAGGTGATTGACTTTCAATTATAGACTCCATATATGATATAATATTTTGTTTTATATCATTTGAAACCAAATTATTTAAGTGTTTTATAGGAGGAAAAAGCATTGATGCTATGATGTGTTTGTCATTCACTTTATAATAAGTGTTTATATTTTTCAAATATATCGCTTTAATTGATTGAATGGTTTGTGAATCAGTATCACAAGAATTACAAAATCTAATCATTGATTGTTTTGTTGGCAAAACTAAATGAAAAGTTGGTTTTTTATCAAAACACAAGTCTTGTCTTAATTTGAATAGTATTCCCAAAAAGTCTGTTAAATCAGTTAAAAGTTGTTCACTTATTGAATAAAACTTTTCGGCAATTTTATCGTTATTATGAGCTATAAGTCTAATGTCTGAGAAGTTAGTTTTGATAGAGTTAAGCATTGAATAAACAGAATCCCAGCGAATTTCAATCGATTGTTTGAGTGTAGTCTTGAGGTTTCGCTGATTATCTGTCTGTTTGAAGAGTGTAACCAATTCCTTACAATTTTCGATAAGAATTTTCACAGAATTTATTTTCTTATCTTTATTTATGTCTTCAAAACTGTGTTTATGAATTAAATTAATGTTATGAGCACAACAACTGAACCACATTTCAGTTTTGAGGGCAGATTTCATTGAACTCCCATTGTCTGTCACATAATATTTGGTCATTGAGTGCAATTGAAAGTCATCTAAAATATTACTTAAATCAAATTTTAAAGTCGATGCTAATTTGTCCTCAGTAGGGATTGTACATAAAACTCTTGATTTCAGATCACCACTAATTATATACTGTACAGTAAATGTCAAATAATTTGTTTTTGTATAGTCTTCAGTCCAGTGGTCACATGTGATACCAATTGTCTTAACATTACATAAAATATTAAGTAATTTAGACTTAATATTTTCATAAACTATTAATATATGATTAGACACAGCTGTCGTCGATGGCATAATTTGAGACACACAAACATTATGATTATTAGAGCCAATGGTTATAAATTCTTGAGCCAATGATTTGAATCCATCCCCTTCTATGATATTAATAGGTCTGATATCTTTGGCCACAAAACCCACTATTTTGTCACATAATTTAGATTTCAATTCTTTAATATTTTTGACTTCTTTTACTTTCAAATGTCTTTCAATCGACTCATTATTATCACTCACTTTACAACTACTTTCATGTCTTATCAAAGAATTGGTTCCGATTTTTGAGTTACATTTTAAAAGAGACTCACATTTCACGCATAAAACATAATCAGTTTTAACATTATCTTTAAAAATAAGTTTATATGATTTAAAATAATTTGCATCAGATTTTGAATTTTGAAAACTAATTGAATGGTCTTTATTGGTAATAAGTCTTTTCAAACTTTCTTTTATTAATTTATCATCAATTTTGTCACTCACTTCTGTATTACACTTAAAAAACTCACGAATTGTCTTTTGTTTCTTATTTGAAACACTATTTGTCTCATTTGACTCCATAATAAATCACAATTTATAAAACAATTGCCAAACAATGCTTTCACACAAACTCTATCACCAAAATGACTGAAATATAGCATTTATAACAGTTTTCAATACATTAAAAAATGATTCAATACTTTCAAATAAAAATGATTTACAATATTACTGTATAATGAAATAAAGTTATTGCTTACTCAATGCAAGTCAGTGCTCAGTATAAAACTCACGGGTTTTTTACGGGTTTTTTCAGAAAAATTTGAAAACCCGGCCCAACCCGGCCCAGTCACACATGAGCCCAAACCCGTCCGAAACCCGTACGGGTTGGGCGGGCCCGGGTTCCCAACGGGTTCGGATTCCCAACTTTGCATTCTACAATGAACCAAAAAACGCAATTATTTTGAATCACATAATTGATAAATAAGTTTATTTTTGCTGAATTTTAAAACATTTAAATTTTTATTGCTTTTTAGTGTTGTTATTTTCTTATAATATATTTTCAATGTTAAGTTATATATATTTCATGGATAATATTATATGAACGTGTAATTACTTTCGATAGTTTTAGTTATAATATTAATTTTAAATTCAATTATTAATTGCGATTTGCATAGTAAATGATCCGTATTATTAAGTCATTTCTAATAGTCATATATTAATATTAAATAGTGTTCAACAAAAAATGAAATATAATTATGCATTTAATTAAAATATTTTGTCGTTTTTATCATTTTATATTTTATAATTTTATATAATAAATAATTATTATCTCCTGTTTCTGTACTAATTATAAACTCAAATAACATGACTGTAATACTTAATTATTATATATTATACTTAATAATCGAGTAGTGATATACTGTAAATATAAAGTAGAAAATAATATAATAAAATGTTTATTACAGACAAAAGTATATTTAGTAATATACTGTATATACTCAAGTATTGAAAAGTAGGAAAGGAGTAGTGGAAAGGCTTTTAGACTATAATTTAGTTTTTATGGTATTAATATACTGTAGATTCAATTAAATTTAATTAAAAAGTTATCCAAAATTGGAGTTAATTGTTATTACATTGAGTTTAATAAATGAACACTATTTCACATGAGGTATGATAGCAAAGGACAGTCTTATAGCAAAGTTTTGTTGACATTGGGTTATATGGTTTGTACATTATGGAGATAAAGTTATAATGAACTCCATTTCCTTTCTAAAGTGAAAATTATACTTTTATTTCTTATTCAACACATGAGTTACACAAATGAGAATTTATTTGGTTATCACAGACTTTTTTAATTTGATGACTATTTATCGTATAAATAGAGTTTTGATTAGCAGTTTGTTTGAGATTTAGACATTTCCTCATATGATTATCAAGTGTTTTGATTGACCAGACCTTACCATACCTTTAGAAATATAGAAATGCTCTAGATAATTTTATTAATATCTCAAGCATTCGTTAAATATTATTTTTTGTATGTTTTTTAGTGAAACTAATAGAGGTTCAGTAGATTTAGTGATCATTTGAGAGTAAATCTATTAAAGGGAAAGTGAGTGAGAGATTGAGTTAAAAATGAATTTTTGACACAAATATATTGCTTAATAAAGAGGGCATTATTAGTAAGAAAACTAATAAAACGAAAAATTAATACGATATTAAGTGAATGAAAAATCTAAGTTTAACTTACATTAGCTAATAGTCAAGTGATATATTGGATACTATTATAAATTATATGGTATTTATGAAATGGTAAGACATAGGCATCGGTGTTGGGAATAGAAAAATGGGCAGAAAATGAGACAATTTTAATGCCTCAACAGAAAGCATATGTTTAATGAAAAATCATAAGTTATATTCAACTTCAAGACTATGGTTTTGGGCGGAAACTCCTAAAAATGAAAATCATATTCGCGTTTAGAAATGGCAAACAGATATAAGTTATAGCTTTTCTACATATAAAACACAAAATTTGTTATTAATTTAATGTCAAGACATGAAATGTCTCTAAATATATGCGTTTTAGAGGCATTCAAACCATTTGTATGATTTGAAGTACTGGTTCGGGAAACCGCCTAAAAAGCATTAATTTAATCCACAATTTTACTCGTATTGTGTTTTTATATGCCTTTCCCTCCAAAACACTATCGACTTTAATAGACCTCAACATGAATTATAACCTCGACTTCGGAAACGCGAGTTTAGTGTTAATTAAAATTGAATTAATTTTTTATTTTCAGCACTTTTTTACAACTCGCACGTATTTCCATACCCTTCCCATTCAGTGGTAGATTTAGTAAGACTGCCCTCCAGAGTCCTTGTGCCACATATTTCTTGAGGATTCAACACATTTTCCTATCGCTAAACATAATGTGCAGTTCCTATGGAATACTTCAATATGTGTTTTTGGAAAATGCTATAAAATGTCACTTAAAGGGCAATATATATATATATTGAATATATATATATTTTTTCCCGATATATATATAATCGGCAAAAGCAAATGAAATGCTTTTTTGGGCAGAAAGTGTGAGAAAATATATAAGAAATTATGAGAAAGTTTTACGACTCGATTGATGATTTTATGAGTTCATAAAGTTTACAATACCGCAAAATATAGCCAATATTGGAATAATATTTACTGTAATTTATATTCTCATACATTTATATTGCTATTACTTCAATAGTATTGAGTTTTAATAAATTTTTTATTTGTTTGAATACTCAACAATTTAATCGGAGACATATTATGTGACATTTAGCATTAATTTTATAATTTTATAAAGCAATAAAGTCATAACTTTTACATATATTACAGAAAATGTCTTTATATAATATTTAATCACTTATAATGAAACATAAACATAGTTAATAAACATTTACAACAAGAATATTCTTGAAAATCATTTATCCAAAATCTTAAAAATCAAAAATATTTTATACTAAAAACAATTAATTATACATTAGCTTACCAGGTATATTTAAAAGAGTTTTTGTTTATTTAATATTAATTGAACTCTCAATTCGCGTACAGATCGGAAGTTT